TCACCGTAACCCATGTAAAAGTCAGAGGATCACATTTTGATACTGCTTCATTCCTTATACACTATCTTCAAGAGGTGCAAATGAGGTTCATTTGTAAGTTAGGTGGTGCATATCACTTAAAAATGAAAATGAAGCTTGACATCTAGGACTTTGAGACTGTGCCTTGGAATGACGAGTATTAAAGCAAGCAACTTAGTCATTAAAAAAGTGTAAAATTCTATCATTAGAACTTTGATTCTAACATACATGCTAGAAGATTCACAACAATAGAGTGATAATTTAACATCATGATATTGTATGAAGATCCAACATTCACATATATAATAGAAAAATGACAAAAGAAGACACAATTATTTCTTACATGAAAAAAGCTTAGAAAGGGAAAAAAATCACGGGTTTGAGCCTAGTCAAAATAATCTATTATGTGTTTGTAAATATGCAATTTCACTATTCACATGAATTGGCGAATAACTAATTGAAATGCTGATATTAAAAATGTACAATAGTAATTCAACTATAATATTTTAAATTAGGCTATAATAATTATTTTTTATCATGAAGACTATAATTGATGGCTGATTCTACTTTTTTTTGTTGTGGCAGATTGTGTAAATTTTAATTAAATATAATCAATTAATATTCAGATTCTACGTAAGTATACATATCATTATTAAGTAATAATGAACTTTCTATTTAAGTCCCAAGTATCGATCCTATAGAGAAGGTTTAAATTAGAAATGACAAATTTACTAGGAAATTCACAGAAAGTCAATTGAAATCACTGTCACTAATTTAAATTATTGAGATGTAATCAAAATTAAATTTCTAAACTATTATCAAATCAAATATGCAAAATTTAAAACAGTAAATACTAATCTATTAACTATATTTATGTAACGAAGATTCTTATGTGAAAAAAACATCCTTCCCAATACAATGAGGCTATGGAAGAATGAAATGAGATAAATGTTCATAATATGTATTGTGTTAAATAGGAGAATTTTAATTCTCTACTCTAATACAGTGTTGTTTAGTCCCTAAATCTGTGGCTATGCTAGGAGGATACCGGCTCCCACTCTAGAGCTCCCACTTCCCTTCACCTGAAGGCTAGCTCTTGCTTCAATTTTTAAATACTAAGCTTGAATTGAAGATTTTAATTTGTCACCCTAAAGGTTCTCCAATTCCACACCCAACAAATAATATTTCCCTATTTATTTGCACTTAATTCCATAAACGATGTTCTTCTTGATGAAATCAAATGTGATCCTCACTCTGTTTTAGAACTCATACTCCATTTCCTGGATCATATATTTCACAACACATTTTAACAACTCAATTGGCCAGATCGAAAAGTAAATTAAGTTCCTAACACATTCATATTATCTCTTCATTTCACCATATCTCAGAGTAGGGAGAAAGATAGATGGAACTACTCAAACTTCATGAGAAAGAAATAACAAAAAATAAATTTCATATATAAAAGAAAGTTCATATAACATTAATAAACAAACAATACTTATCTGAAAACTTTTTCTCAAAGCAAATCCTTTGTAGCCTTTCCTTAGAAATGCAGGAAGAAGATATTTCTCACTTTTCTCCTTTTCCAACACTCTTATAGAAAGTTTCACACTAAATCTCATCACAAAAACTCTAAACTATGAAAAAAAAATCACTAATTGACTCTAATATGGAAGTGAAATGGAATGATGTGGTGCAAAAAATGAAAGTAGAGGAGTGAAAAAC